TTCAAACAAATGAGAAAAGATTTTCTGAATGAGTAAAAATTCAGAATTATAGACTTTTTAAAATAAGATTTTACAAATTTTGATAAAATGCTAAAAGTCAACTAAGAGCAGTCCTTAGAAAATTTATTTTAATGAGCAGGTAGGAATAATTTGCAATTGGAATATTCATTGCTTATAATTATGTAATTTATAGAATTCCTTGTGTGGCTGAAAACAGCTTGTTCTGAAATACTTCTTCCCCACACCCATCTTAATTCACTTTTAAGAAAGGACTTAGCAATTAATTGGGTGAGTCTTTTCTTAATAATTAGCAAAATGACAAGTTTTATACCAGCTTCAGTCCTGAAATCTATCTTATTTTTTGGCAAATGTTGAAAGATGGGAAAGATTTTTCTTTCATACTGCTGTATGTATCTGTCATTTGAATTCAGTTTTACTATAAGAGAATCAGAATGCAAAATATTATGGTAAAAACCTAGACCTGTATAGGAAAGAGGTGTTTAAAGTGAGGCTGGTAGCTTTGTTGAGATTTTAATGTTTTGGTCAGAGCTCCTGTCTTCACTTTGGCTTAAGAGTTTGTATCTTGTAGAATCCTTTCAGATGTATCAAAAAGTTTGAATCAGAGTTAAAACTTCTATATAAGGGTACCTAGGAAGGAAATCCTGTATCTGCCTTTTATAATTTATGAAAACCTCCAGGTTTGTATAAGTATGAAATGAGATAATGTGATATGATGAAATTAGATAGTGTATATGAGCATACTTTATAAACTATGAAGAACTGTAGACAGTTATTATTAATTATCATAGTTCTTTCATGGATATGCTTGGTTCCTGTGACACCATTTTTCTTTTTTTCTGTTTTTTTTTTTTTTTTTGGAGACGGAGTTTCCCTCTTGTTGCTTAGGCTGAAGTACAATGGCACAATCTCAGCTCACCACAACCTCTGCCTCCCAGGTTCAAGCAATTCGCCTGCCTCAGCCTCCAGAGTAGCTGGGATTACAGGTGCCCACCACCATGCCCAGCTAATTTTGTATTTTTAGTAGAGAGAGGGTTTTGCCATGTTGATCAGGCTGGTCTTGAACTCCTGACCTCAGGTGATCCGCCTGCCTCGGCCTTCCAAAGTGCTGGGATTACAGGTGTGAGCCACTGTGCCAGGCCGATTTTTCTTTATTTAAACTTCGAAATGCCAAATAAATGCAATTAATATTTATCAGATGCCTCATATGTGCCAATATAAGCCCTATTAATAATTTAAATGTTTATGTTTGATTTGTTTGTTTGTTTTTGTTTTTGAGAGGGAGTCTCGCTCTGTCGTCTGGGCTGGAGTGCAGTAGCGCAATCTCAGCTCACTGCAAGCTCTGCCTCCTGGGTTCACGCCGTTCTCCTGCCTCAGTCTCCCAAGCAGCTGGGACTACAGGTGCCCACCACCACGCCCAGCTAATTTTTTGTATTTTCAGTAGAGACAGGGTTTCACCGTGTTAGCCAGGGTGGTCTGAATCTCCTGACCTCATGATCCACCCATCTTGGCCTCCCAAAGTGCTGGAATTACAGGCGTGAGTCACCGTGCCCAGCCCAATAATTTAAATGTTAATTGTTCTATTGAAGTAAAATATTTGTCTCTTTGTTACTTCTTACTTTCTTTACAAAAGTGTAGAAGTTATAGATGATGGCATTCTTTTAGTAAAAGATTCAAGAATGTCAAAGCATATAGGGAAAAATGAGAAAGGCCATCTCTAACACTGTTTTCCTTTCACTCTCCAGAGTTAGCCAGAATTTGGGATATATCTTTGAAGTTTGTTTTCTTTGTATAATATTTACATTCATATACATGTGTGCTTTTTTAAAAAAATGAACATTAATAGAATTATACTGCAGTATACATTTTTCACTTACAAATATTCCTTGGATAGCTTTCTGTGTCAATATATGTAAGTCTCCTTCATTATCTTGGACAAATGCAGAGTATTCTAGAATATTGCCACATAATGGAAAATATAAGATCCATGAACACAGGGACCTTTTCCGTTTTATTTACTGCTATGACTCCAGTTCCTCGAACAGGCTTGGTGTCTGGTAGGTACTCAGTAAATAGACTTAATGAATAATTCATTTAACATATGGATTATTTCTGGTTGTGGCTGTTGAAAATAGTACTGTTGTGAAAATGCTTACTTGCCTCCCTGTGCACACAATGAATCATTTTCTAGGGTAGCCATCCAAATATCTTTTCAAAGACAAGGTTTCATTGTCTTGTAGTTTCTGGTGTTGCCAGTGAGAGTTATCATACCAATCTCATTCTGGTTTCTTTGCAGGAAACCTATTTTTGTCCCTCAGAAAAGTTCTAGGACTTTCTCTTCACCTTTGGTGCTCTGAAAGTTTACAACAGTGGGTCTGGACATCTTGTGCTGCTTTTTCATTTATCCCAGTCATCACTCACTGAACCCTTTAAACTGCAGAGGCACGCCTTTCTTCAGCTATAGGAAATTTTTTTCTCCTCTGTCTTTTATTGTTTCTTCTCTGTGACTCTTTCTGTTCTCTCCTTCCGAGAATCCTGTTAGATCACAGTTAAAACTTCTGGATATTTCTTTCATGCTTTGTAGCCTTTCTGTCTCACTTTCTGTCGTTTTGTGGGATTTGGGGCGGAGAGGAAGATAAATAACTGTGTTCTGTTTGCCATCTTCACCCAGCTTCCTGACATAGTTCTTTTTATCCCACAAGGGTGACTTTTTTTTTAATCTGTCATTTCATTTGTCTCGCAGTCTCTTCCTAAAAAAAAAAAATATGACTCATATTTCATAGTAATTGATGGGAGGTTGATATTTATTTAACATGCTTTTGTTTCATAGTCAGCTTTTTTTAAGATGCTTTTTTTTTTTTCAAAGCCATAATACCAATTTAAAAATTAGGTTGTGTTGCTTTGTGCTATTGGTAGTGAGCCCAGTCGCTTTAAAACACGTGTTGGTATCTTAATCACTCATCAGGTCCAGGCAGCTCCAAGTGCTGATAAAGGCCTTGATGCTTCTCCAGATGTCTAAATGCTGGGTCCAGGTGCAGTAAGCAGACTATTTGGAGCTGGCACATAGATTCTGAAGCACAACGTATTATTACAAATCAGAGTTTTAGGTTCTTGGTCTCCTAGAGTAATGGTTCTTAAGCCTGGTTCAGTACCAGAATCACCTGTGGTACTTGATAAAACTATAAAGACCCTCTATTAGACCTGTTAAATCAAAATGCTATGGGGAATGGAACTGAGTGCCTATATATCTCTGAAGGCTCTGGAGGTTATTCTGATACGCAGCCAAGTATGACTGTGTTTTCATGTCTGTATATATTTTCTTTTTGTATGGGTTTTCACTGTTCTTACTCTCCGTATGTATTTTTTATTACTCATTCCTCATGAGTAAAATGGCTATACAGTGTCCCTTGGTACAGATGTGTTCTAATTTACATAACATCCCCTCTTGGTAGACATTATTAATATGCTTCTAGTCTTTTTTCATAACAAGTTACTTTAGTACACTTGTACTTGTATACTTGTACGTGTAACTTTGTACACATTTGTGAATATATGGGATAAATTACTAGAAGTGGACTTGTTCAGAGAGTATATATATTTGTGAATTTGAGAGATGTGTTTTCTTTGATTCCAATTTTTAAAATTGTTTTAAAATAGCCGTAAAATTGACTGGGTGCAGTGGCTCATGCCTGTAATCCCAGCACTTTGAGTGGCCGAGGCGGGTGGATCTCAAGATCAGGAGATCAAGACCATCCTAGCTAGCGTGGTGAAACCCTGTCTGTAGTAAAAATACAAAAAATTAGCCAGGCGTGGTGGCAGGTGCCTGTAGTCCCAGCTACTCGGGAGGCTGAGGCAGGAGAATGGCGTGAACCTGGGAGGTGGAGCTTGCAGTGTGCCAAGATCGCGCCACTGCACTCCAGCGTGGACAACAGAGCAAGACTCCGTCTCAAAAACAAACAAACAAAAAAAAAACCATAAAATTTACCGTGTAACCATTTTAAATGTACAATTCAGTGGCATTAAACCTTTCGTCTCCAGACCTCTTTTCATCTTGTAAAACTGACTGAAACTCCATACCCATAAACAGTAACTCCCCATTCCTTCCTCTCCCTATCCCTGGCAACTACCATTTTACTTTCTGTCTCTTGGATATCAGCTACTCCAGGAACCTCATATAAGTGGATTGTACGGTATTTGCTTATTTAACTTAGCATAATGTCCTCAAGGTTCATCAAGTTGTAGCATGTCAGAATTGTCTTTCTTTTTAAGGCTGAATAATATTCCATTGTGTGTACATAACACATTTTGTTTTTCCGTTCCTCTGTCAATGGACATATGGATTTCTTCCACACTTTAGCTATTGTGAGTAATGCTGTCATGAACCAGGCTGTACAGATATCTCTTCAAGACCCTGTTTTCAGTTGTTTGGGCTATAGACCCAGAAGTGGAATTGCTGGATCATATGATAATTCTATTTTTAATTTTATTAGGAACCACCATATTTTTGTTTCCCACGGTGACTGAACCATTTTACTTACGTTCCCACCAGCAGTTCATAAAGGTTCTGATTTCTTCGCATCCTCACCAACGCTTCTTATTTTCTGCGTTTTTGTGGTAGTAGCCTTCCTAATGAGTATGAAGTGAAATCTCTTTGTAGTTTGGATTTGCATTTCCCTAGTGATTAGTGAGGTTGAACATCTTTTCATGTGCTTATTTAAGGCCATTTGTATATCTTTTTTGGAGAAATGTTTGTTTAAGTTCTTTGCCCATTTTTGATTTGGTTTTTTCTTGTTCAATTTTGGCAGTTCTCTATGTATTCTGGATATTAATCCCTTATATATGTGATTTGCAAATATTTCAGATTTTTTAATGTATGAAAATATGCGTTTTAATCCTCAAGAGTTAACGTTCTTAAACTGAAAATATTCTTAGCTATTCTTAAATCTTGGAAGTCCTTACATGTTGTTTTTATCTCTTCTTAGGCCAGTACTAAAGTGGAAGTGGACATGGAGAAAGCAGAAAGCCTGCAGGTGACGAGAGGAGACTTCCTTGCTTCTTTGGAGAATGATATCAAACCAGTGAGTATGCCCATTGAGTATATATATAGGCCAAAAAGTAATGATAATAACTCAGGAGAAAAATAAGTGCCGTTTACCCAGTATTATGGAAGGTTATAGCATATGCAGTTTCATAAAATGAGAAAATCTTAATATTGGAAATGTTCAATATGCAAAACATCTGTATAATAATCCCAGTGGCTGGTGATATTACTTACCTAAATATTTTCGTGATAGGAAGCTTACCATCTTGTAAGGCAGGCCATTCAGTTTTGAGACTTTCCAATTATTGTTTTACTTTATATTGAACTAGAGCTAATTTTCTGATTGGTTCTTATACAATCCCAAACTATAGAAACCTAAATTCAGTCCAACTTCCATATGTCAGTCATTAGGATATTTAAAATTGATGCTCACATCCTCCTTCTCCTCTCTCTCTCTTTTCTCCTCAGCGTCCTCCAAGGCATCCCTTTTTCTTGCTCAATACATTTAGTTTCTCTGACTACTGTAGTTTCTAAGACTTAAAAAAAGTGTCAGTTTTCTTAAAAGGCGTTCAAAATAGTCATAGTTGAGCTTTAGAATGCAGTATAAGGTTATTAACCCATTTTCCTATAAAACAACTACTAACATTTGAGTAACTTTGGTTAGAGTCCTGTGTTAATACAAAAACAAATTGTAGAAAGTCCCAGTTCTTAAAGAGTGTGTGTTTGGTTTTCTTTCTTAAATGGACCTCACGTCCATTAAGATTAGTCTTAATCTTTATGACACACTGTTATTAGTCTATATTTTCATGGTGTGTAAAATAAGATATGGTATATGTAGTTTTCTGGGACTTGCTATTTATTAAATATTTTATTGCCAAGAGTCATCTATGTCAGGAATTCCCAACCACCAGTACTGATCCGTGACCTGTTAGGAACTGGGCCACACAGCAGGAGGTGAGCAGCAAGCAAGTGAGCCTCATCTGTATTTACAGCCACTCCCCATTGTTCGCATTACCACCTGAGCTCTACCTCCTGTCAGATCTTTGGTGACATTAGATTCTCATAGGAGTATGAACTCTGTTGTGAACTGCATATCTGAGGGATCTAGATTGCACACTCCTTATGAGAATCTAATGCCTGATAATCTGTCACTGTCTCCCATCACCCCCAGATGGGACCATATAGTTGCAGGAAAACAAGCTCAGGCTCCCACTGATTCTACATTATGGTGATTTGTATAATTATTTCATTATATATTACAATTTAATAATAATAGAAATAAAGTGCACAATAAATGTAGTGATGTAGTGTGCTTGGGCCAGGCACGGTGGCTCATGCCTGTAATCCTAGCACTTTGGGAGGCTGAGGCGGGCAGATCATGAGGTCGGGAGTTCAAGACCAGCCTAACCAATATGGTGAAACCCTATCTCTACTAAAAATACAAAAATTAGCTGGGCATAGTGGTGCGTGTCTGTAATCCCAACTACTCAGGAGGCTGAGGCAGGAGAATCACTTGAACCCAGGAGGCAGAGGTTGCAGTGAGCCAAGATCGCACAACTGCACTCCAGCCTGGGTGACAGAGCGAGACTCTGTCTCAAACAAACAAAAAAAGAAGTAATGCACTTGAAACATCCCGAAACCACCGCCTTCCCCTGCATGGAAAAATTGTCTTCTATGAAACTCGTCCCTGATGCCACAAAGGTTGGGGACTGCTGATCTATATGATTTCTTATAACTAGACATCATTCATTTTCATGCTGATAGCATTCCATTGTGTGACTACCACAGTTCATCTATTTTCCTGTTGATTGTGAATGTTGTCAGTTTTTTATTAAAAACAGATTTGTTATAAGCATTCTTGAATGAATTTCTCTTATTTAGGAATAAAATTATTGGGTTGTTGGATATATGAATGTCCAGCTTTAAAAAAACATTTCCCAGTGGTTGAACCAGTTAACACTGCCCCCAATACTGTGAAAAATATCCGTTTGTTCTGTATCCTCTCTGACACTTGGTATTATCAGATTTATTTTTTATTTATTTTTGAGATGAAGTCTCACTCTGTCGCCCAGACTGGAGTGCAATGGCGCAATCTCAGCTCACTGCAACCTTCATCTCCCAGATTCAAGCAGTTCTCCTGCCTCAGCCTCCCGAGTAGCTGGGATTACAGGTGCCTGCCACCATGCTTGGCTAAGTTTTGTATTTTTAGTAGAGATGGGGTTTCGCCATGTTGGCCAGGCTGGTCTCGAACTCCTGACCTCAGGTTGTTTGTCTGCCTCGGCTTTCCAAAGTACTGGGATTACAGGTGTGAGCCACTGCACCCAGCCTCAGATTTAATTTTTGCCGTTCAGTTGGGTGTAAAATGAGATCTCATTTCAGTCTTGATTTGCATTTTGGTTATTACTTAAGAACTTAAGCATTTCTCCATATGTTAATTAACCACACGCATGTGTTGTGTGAAATACTGTTCAAGTCTTTTGCCTATTTTTCTGTTGTACTGCTTATTTGACTAATACAAGTTCTTTATATACTTTTTTCTCAATTTTGTATTGTGTTAAAATACATATGAAGTTTACCATTGTAATCATTTTTAAATGTATAGTTCAGTGGTATTAAGCACATTCATAATGTTGTGTAATCATCACCACCATCCATCTCCAAAACTCTTTTCTTCTTGAACTGAAATTCTATACCCATTAAACAATAATTCTTTTTTCCTTCCCCTACAACACCTGACAGCCACCATTCTACTGTCCATCTTTATGAATTTCACTAATCTTAAGTACCTCATATAAGTGAAATCATAGTATTTGTCTTTTTGTAACTGGCTTATTTAATGTAGCATAATGTCCTCAAGGTTCACCCATCTTGCAGCAAGGGTCTGGAGGATAAAACAAAAAAAAATGAAGTTATGGGATATGTAAGGAAGATATACACGTTATGTATCTTGGGAGAGTCACTGTTTTATGGTTCAGGTATCTTAAAGCTTCTGCTGTGAGGCTTGGAGTATATAACTGGAAAAATTAAAGACAAAAGCCAGCCTATAATTTTTTTTTTTTTTTTTAAATGAAATGGAGTCTCTCTCTATCTCCCAGGCTGGAGTGCAATGGCGTGATCTCAGCTCACTGCAACCTCCGCCTCCCGGGTTCAAGAGATTCTCCTACCTCAGCCTCCCAAGTAGCTAGGATTACAGGCACACACCACCACAGCCAGCTAATTTTTGTATTTTTAGTATAGATGGGGTTTCGCCATGTTGGCTAGGTTGGTCTGGAACTCCTGACCTCAGGTGATCTGCCTGCCTCAGCCTCCCAAAGTGCTGGGATTACAGGCTTGAGTCACTGCGCCCAGCTGTAAAAATTTCTTAGAACAGCCATTCGGCCGGTATGAATTAGGCTCATCATTACTTTTTACACTACTACAGAATTTGCCATATCCAGGCCAAAGAATGAGGACCTTCCTCTGTATGCAGGAATCAAAGGACCAGTATATGCAAGGAGACTACCTAAAAAGTGGTCTGAAAAATTATTTTGTGGCAAAGTAATAGAGATATGAGATCGCTGGATACTGTTTCAGAGACAGTGTTACAAAAACAGCTTTGTGTGAGGTGCATGTTCTAAAGAACTGTTAAAACTATTCCATACATCAGGTAGTCAAAAGTTGACTTTTTGAGGGATGTGATGATATTTTAAAAGTTGAAATTCTCAAGATACATGATCTTTACATGTACGTGATCTTTACATATGGTAGGTTATGTTTTCCTATTCTGTTAACCTCATGAAAATCCAATTCAATTGTAAATACTAAAGTTATTGACTACTTTTGGCAGCTGTTTTGATGGGAGGTATAACCTTTGAGATTAAAAGTTGAAAATAAAGAAGGGTGCAATTTGAGCTCCAATATATAGTGAACACAAATAGAATTATTATCTGTATTAATTGCTTTTATATCCTTTTCATTACACCTGCTCATTTCTATCTCATCCTAAATCTTGTATTTACACATATAAACTTACGTTGGTGCCATTTAACTATGTCCCCTACCACAAAGTTGATGTGAACATGATCTTCTCATTACCATTTCGTATTCTCATGTTAATCCATAGCACCTGCAATCAGTGTTAAGGTAGTATATTTGTCAACTGAGCTGTTTCTAATTTCTGAGTCCATAATCGCTTTTTTCCTTTGTTCTTAACAGAACAGCCTCAAACTGCATAGTGTTGATAAAAATAAGCACATTGGAACATACTCTTTCTGTCAGGAATTATGAGGGTTTGAGCTCTGGTAGATTCTGAGCCTAAAATCCATTGTTTTTATTCCATGAGGTCATTCAAAGCAGCCTTTTTTTTCCTATTGGGAAAAAAGTTAAATGATAAATTATACAAGTTGTTTTGCTTTCCAGGCTTTTTATATTAATATGGGATAGTGATCAATATCTTTAGCATGTACGAATTATAACTCACCTTTTATACTGTTAAATATTTTAGTTTTTAACACTAATGCTCAAAATGCTTTAAACTGTCCTTTTTCTTAATAGGCATTTGGCACAAACCAAGAGGATTATGCAAGTTACATTATGAACGGTATCATCAAATGGGGTGACCCAGTTACTCGAGTTCTAGATGATGGGGAGCTGCTAGTGCAGCAGACTAAGAACAGTGACCGCACACCATTGGTCAGCGTGCTTCTGGAAGGTGAGGACGAATGAGGAGATGGGATTAAAAGTTAAAGGAAAAACAGCATTTTTTAAAAGCCCTTAAGCACATTCTAGAAAATTGAATTCTTTCCCATTTTTAACCTTGTTCTTGATCTGAAAATAGTAATCCAGTCTATGTACCAATATTATGTACAAATTAAAATTCTCTTGGGGTAGAATGTTACTGAGGAATGATAGTAACTAGTTTTCATGTAGAATTATATCTGTATTTCTGTGGCACTTAATACACTGAATGATGCCACATAGCTTCAATTCAATTAAATAAATATTTACTGAGTACTTGCATTTTAGTCATTCAACTAGTTGCTGCGGATGCAAAGACATTCAAGTATTCATTGAGTCTGGTCATGAACAAAGGCAGTGTAAAGAAATTCCTGACTACAGTGTGTGTGTGTAAAGTTGTGTGAATACAAGTCATTTTGCATAGGGGTGGTCAAGAAAACTAGAGATGATATTTAATCTAGGCCTTGAAAGACCCGTTAGGATTTTACTGAGTAGACAGACAAAAGGGGAAGAACATTCCATTCACAAATAATTAATTTACAGTTATAATTAGTATGACAGCAGAAAAGTTCAGTGAGGCCCCATGACAAGGGAACCTAACTACCTTTAAAGGTCTGGGGGATGAGAGCTCCCTGAGAGAAACATATTAAGCCATAACTTGACCAGTGAGGAGACTCTGGCCAGGCAAAGTCATTGGGGAAGATGTTTGAAGCAGAGCATGTAAGTCCTGGGCAGGAAGGAGCTTGAAACAGAAAGGAAGATTGTCCTGACATGAGACTGTAGAAGCAGACAGAATCCAGTTCATATAAAACCTTGTAGGCCATGTTAAAGATTTAGACTATCTTAGGGGCAATGGAAAGCCATTTGTAGGATTTTAAGCAGTGAAGCTACATCATCATGACTGCTTTATGATGGAGAATGGATTGGAGGGGCAAAAAGATACAGGAGAGACTATTTTGGTTAGAAGCAGTTGGATTAGCCTTAATGAGAGTCGATTGTGGTTTGAAGCATGTGGAGTAGTGTAGATGGAGGTAAGTAGACTAATTAGAAATATTTAGGAGATAGAATAAAAATGACCACATTATTATTGTCAATCATAATTAAGCTAACATTTTTTGAGCCCTTGCTATTTGCCAGTCACTCTACTAGCACCGTGCACATACTATCTATTTAAACCCCACTTAAGTCCTCCAAGGGTCGATGCTGCTGTTGTCTCTATTTTGTAGGTGGAGAAGCGGAAACTTAGAAATATTTGTTAGGTTGGATGTGGGCAGAGGTATCAAATATGACCCCCTGGGTTCTGGCGTACACAGCCTGGTAAATGATGCTGTTTACTAAGATTGGGAACACTAATGGAAAGCAGATTTCTGGAAGAAAGTTGATGAGTTCAGTTTTGAACATGTTAAATTCAAGGGTCATATAGGAGAAGTAAATCGGAAATGTTGATCTGCCTGCCTGTTGGATATGTGGGTCTGGCTGGCAGTAGACTCATGAGTTGTCAGTATATAAGACTGTGGTTGAAGCCATGGGAGTGGATGAAATCACTTACAGTGAGGGTATTGGTTGAGATGAAAAGGAGGACTAGAACTTGTCTCTGAGGCATGTTAACACTTAAGGACTAAACAGAGCAGAAAAATTGACAAAAGAGACTGAGCAAGAGTAACCAGAGAGGAAAGAGGGGAAAGAGAGAATGTGTATTACAGAAGCCAAGAAAAGAAACATATTTTAAGAAAGAGGGAAATTATGAATTGTATCAAATGCTCCTAAGAGGCTGAGAAAGATACCAAAGTGTTTGTTGGGTTTGATGACATGGAGATCATTTGTGACCTTGATGGGAGCCTGTTCAGTGTAATGGGGCTGGGAGCCATAAGATTTAGTGAGGATGGGTGGGAGGTGAGGAACAAAAGCAGCCAGTGTAAATAATTACATAGGCAAGTTCCATTTTGAAGGGAGAAGAAGGTGTAGTGTTGAGGGGTATGATATCCAGAAAGTTTTTTGTTGTTATTTAATAAACTGTCAGATAGACTAGAACATGCTAAAACACTTTTGGAAAGGCCTCAGGGAAGAGGAAGAAGTTGAACATATGGGAGAAAGGAACAATCAGTAATGTCAGGTTCCTGAGAAGATGGGAAGGAAGGTTTGATTGGTTTGTGGTTGAATGAGGGACACAGCTTCCAAAACAGGGAAGGGAAGGCAGGGATGTCTAAGTGTAGGTAAGTTTGTAGATTTGCTTGCCTTTATGAGAAAGCCTGGGTCTTTAGAATTCTAGCTTTTTACATCACATTTGCTTCTAATAAGGTAGTTTTCCCCTGCCCCCAATATCAGCTCCTAAGAAGATTGTATTTTTTTGTTAGACAAATGATTTGATAGAACTAATAACGTAAGTACTGATATGCATTTGAATGCATTCTCTTAAGAAGCAAAACCCTTATACTCTGTATATTTTGCCAAAAGTTTGAAAGATTAAGGGTATGTGAGAATGTCAGGAGGCATGTATTTCACCATACTTTTGAGAAATGCTAATTAGTTCGTTAAGTTTAGTTGCTAATAAATAAGAGAAAACATGTCTGCTGTGAAATTGTGTCAGGAAATGTTAATGAGCAACTAGTCAAGACCTCAGTATGTTCTGGATAAAAGTTTAAACTTGTTTTATTTCCCTTTGCTTAGGTTGGCTTTTTTCCCCTGACTTGCTCATGTCTTTATGCAGGCCCTCCTCACAGTGGGAAGACTGCTTTAGCTGCAAAAATTGCAGAGGAATCCAACTTCCCGTTCATCAAGATCTGTTCTCCTGATAAAATGATTGGCTTTTCTGAAACAGCCAAATGTCAGGCCATGAAGAAGGTATCAAGATTTTACTTTCATTTTAATTTCCTATCTCTTAAATGTGTGTGTGTGTGCACATATATATGCCTTTGTACATGTATACATATAAACCCATAGCAACTGTGTCCTTCTCAGTTGGAACCAAATTATCAGAATTTGGGGGGAAACAGTGACTGTTTTAGATTTTTTAACTTTGTATTGTATTTTATTGAGTACCTTTACCTTCTAAATTATGCTTTGTTTAATACATATTAAGATTGTTTCATTTCCTAGTTTTGTATCAATTTTATTAAAAGAGTCATAGTTGAAAATGTTTGAATAAAGTGGGACAAATTCATTTAGGATTTTTTGAAGTTCTTTCATTATGGTACAAAGTTGAACTGTTTGGGGTCAATTAAGTTGAGGAAGACAGAGATGTATTAATGGGAAAATAGTCCCAGGAATCCCTACAAAAGAATAGTTTTATATTAGGCAATAATCAGAATCTGCTTGGTAACTTGATGCAGTTCTCATCCATCTTCCTTTCTCCAAGTGCCACTCGTCACCTTCTTAATTAACATGGCCACTTTATACCATCAGTGAAGTTAGGACAGCATAGAATAGAATCCTAGAGCTGAAAAGTCTGTAAGACCATCTGGTCCATCTCTCTCACATTCAAGCAAGTGCCATGCAACAACAACAAAAATCAATGATGAAGACTCTAAATGGCTGTTCCATCTTACTTGTTAGATCATGTTTCCATTGCTCTTCTAATTTTGCATACTGCCAGTCAAATTATTTCTTATATCCATCTGAAGTATTTCTTTTATGTAAATTCTTTTTTTCATGCTTGATCTTTTATAGATATGAACTGACTGTGTAAGTCCAAGAAATGCGGGAAAATCAGAATGAGGTGAAAGAATCTTGAGAATTGAAGTGCTACCTAGTAAAGACAGCTCAGGGTTTTCTTTTAAGTTGCTCTTAGGTATTCGCTCTATAAGGATATAGGGTAGAATTCTTCGGTGTTTCTTTGGGAAAGAGACTGAGGAGGAGAAATAGATTTAAAAGGAAGATGACTCCCAAAAAATGTAAGCTTGAAAAGCTAGTCTCTTGTTTGTGCAGGTGGCAGAAAATTGCACAGGGTACTTCAGATGGATGGAGGAAGCAGAACTTGTAGCAGGATTCCAGGCATAAACACTGAAGAGTCCAGAGAAATACATAAAAATCTTTGAAATTGAGTGTGAAAGAGAAATATTGCCAGGCTCAAAAAGAACTTACAATATCATATTCTGTCTCTGAGGTGAAACCAGTAGTATCTGTCCTTCCCAGGAAAATCTGAATAGAATAATGGGGACCAGTAATTTCCCTAGAGTAGGTAGGGCTGTTTTTCTTTGTTTTTTTGTTTTCCCTTTGATGGGAACCCTTAACCCACTTCTTCTGGTAAAAATTTAAATAGCAGCCCTTGAAATCTGTAGCTGTTGAATGTCCCATTTATTTATTGAATAGCTAATTCTATTTGCATTTTCCTAAATCATCTATTCCTGTGCTTTTTCAAAAGTAGTAGTCAGCTTTGCAGATGGTAAATTACTCCATTGCTTTCCACCAGCTGCCAGCTTCTACCTCAGATGTACTCTGAGATGTGGGTGGATGGTCCTAGTTTTTCTATAAAGTTTTTTAAAAGTACTTTAGGCTTCTGCAGATCAAAGCTACTTTGTAAGTGTGAGATATTATCATTTTTATTATTTTAATCTCTTGCAAATTGACTTGAAGGGGGAAGGTAATATGTGCTGATTTTAGAGGCTTAAATGGTTAAATTAATGGCTTAATAACTTATGATTTAATCTTCAAATTGTTGAAGCCTTTCAAGGTAGAGTTTTAGATGAGTGGAAGGCTAGGGAGTATAAAAATAAGTGTCCATACAAGCTTATTCAAAATTGTTTTAATTCGTGATTCACTGCCCGGATCATCCATGCACTCTTAAACTTATAAAAACTATTTCTGCTTCAGCAGTATAATAAATTTATAGTAGAATTTTTGGTTTTCCTTGGGGGAAAAATACTATTCTTTGTAATTAAAGTTCAGAAAAGAGAAAAGAATGAAGCATAGGTGTCTTGGAAATATATTAGGAATATTACAAAATCTTTCCCTGCAAATAGTTTTCACATTGTTACCTAATGATAGGTTGACAAAAGCCTAAGGGCTCAAACCAGTCTAAAGATGCTAAGTCTTCCAGGTTGTTTTTGAAAATGAAATGTAAATGTCATTCTTTAGTATAAGTTCTAGTCTACCTCCCACTACTGTTCTTGCCCCTCCGTTTTTAGTGTGAGGATGGGAAGATGTTTTAATTTTTTTTCAGAGCACAAATAATTTATAAAGTTTTGTATTTCTGGAGAAAACCTTTCTTTTGTTGTAAGTGCAAAAAATAAGGTAGCTTTTTCTAATTACAGAAATAATTTAGAAAATACAAGAAAGAACAGAAGAAAATAAAAATAAATTCATATTTGTCCTTCAATTCTCTTTACCACTCAGACACGCATATACACATGAACACATTTACCCCTCCCTTATATATTGGGAATGACATTGAAACATACTGGTGTAAACTTGTTTTTTTCACTTAAAATATTATGAACTTTTTTCAGTGTAACTAAAGCTTATCTGAGTATTATTTTAAATTAATAGCTGTCTAATATCTGAACAGTCCCTTTTTTGTTGGACCATTAGGTTGTTTCCAGGTTTTTTTCATAATTATAAATAATATGCGTGTCAAAGAGTTATCCAAACTCCCAAGGTCATTGCAGCAGTATTCACAGTAGTGGAATGGAATCAACCTGAATGTCCCTCAGGATGAATGTCCCTCAGGATGAATGGATAAAGAAAATGTGGTACATATACACTGTGGACTATAACACAGCCATTTAAAAAGAATGAAATCCTTGTCATTTGCAACAACATGGATGAAGGAGCTGGAAGACATCATGTTAAGTGAAAGAAGCCAAGCACAAAAAGTCAAATATCACATGTCCTCATTCATATATGGGAACTAAACAATTGAACTCACGGAGGTAGAGTTAGAGTGATGGTTATCAGAGGCTGGGAAGGGTAGTGGGGATGGGAGAATAAGGAGGAGATAGTCAATGGGTATAAAAATACCGTTAAATAGAAGTAATAAGATCTAGTGTTCAACAGCACAATAAATTAACTATACTTAAAGGCGTGGTGGTTCACGCCTGTAATCCCAGCATTTTGTGAGGCTGAGGTGGGGGGATCACGAGGTCAGGAGTTCGAGACCAGCCTGACCAGCATGGTGAAACCCTGTCTCTACTAAAAATACAAAAATTAGCTAGTTGTGGTGGCACACGCCTGTAATCCCAGCTACTCGGGAGGCTGAGGCAGGAGAATTGTTTGAACCCGGGAGGGGGAGGTTGCAGTGAGCCGAGATCACACCCCTGCACTCCAGCCTGGGCGACAGAGCGAGACTCTGTCTAAAAAATGAAATTATGTATAGTTCAGGGAGAGGGTGTGGTGGCGGTGGCAATGGCAGGGGAAAGAGTTGGAGCAGTGCCAGTGGCAGGCGAACAAGGTGACGGAAATCATGCTTAACAATTTCAACAAGATCCCGGAGCATGATGGGAAACTGGCCAAACTGGAGCAGTGTTCAGACCAACTCCTGGATATGTGCTCAGCCTTCAGCAAGACGACAAAGACCCCGGTCCACACGAAGTGCTGGGAGAACATCCATTGCTGGATCTGCTTGGGGCTAGTGGTGGGTGGTGGCCTGTTCATCATCCTGATTGAGTGGCTGGCCATCTTCTTCCCTCGGAGCAGTGACACCAGTAATGCCCCATGGACCAGGATGCAGATACCACCTCAGGGCCTGGGGACTGACTCAGCTGGTCCTGAGGGAGAAGGTGGCTGCTCTGGCCAGTTCTGATCTCCAGAGAACCTTGGTGTTTGCTCTACCCTGACCCACCCCAATGAGTGCCAAAAGGCAGCCCCAATGTGTGCACCCCTGCATTTCCTGTCACGTCACAGACTGGCCTTCGAGGGCACGCTGCTGTACTGGCCATGTGGGGCCAGCCTCACCTGAAGCTCAGTAAAAGCTGTTGTTTGATTTTTTTTAAAAATTTTATATAGTTCAAAATAACTACAAGAGTGGAAATTGAATATTCCTAACAAAAATAAATGATACATGCTTAATGAGTTTCACAACTACCCTTATTTGATCATTACATGTTTTATACTTGTATCAAAATAGTGCATGTACTCCATAAATATGTATAGTTATTTTGTAGCCATAATAACTAAATCTTAAAAATTTATATAAAAACAGTATTCCATAGGACTACCAAACTAGGGAAATTACTGCCCCCATTTATTAGATTTTTCTTCACTAGAGTAGCATAACATGACAGAGAATTTGGGCTTGCTCAGCTCTCCACACTGACCAGCCGAATGACCTTGGATACGTCATTTAACCTATAAGCCACTGTTTTCTCTTCTGTCAAATGAAGATAATAACTGCATTGTAGGGTTATTGTGAGAATTTGATGGTAATTTCTGTAAAGTATCACACAGTGCCTGGGATATAATATGAAATCAATGAAGTGTACTGGGTATTTTTACTTATTCTTATACATACGTTTTTTATTATTTCCTTACGACAAATTCTCAGAAGTGTGATTGCTAAGGTAAAAATGTTAGTATTGTAAAGATATTTGATACATACTGCTATCAAAACTCTTAGGTAAAAAATACTCTTGGTTTTATAAAGCCTACCCCTTCAGAAATTTGTGATAGTTTACACCTGTAGCCGCGTCATATAAGACTATGAGTTTCTTGGGATTCTCACCTGTTTTTGATATTATTAAAATATTTTTGCCAGTTTGATAGGCAGAAGGTTAGCATTTAATTATTTCTTTAGCTAGATTTCAATGACTAAATGCTCACATTTAAAGATTTTTCAAAATGTTTTGCAATGACAATAGTCTGTGAAACTCAGAAATGTGTAACACATTAATTTTTGTTAAAGACTTGTG